CCCCTTATTGATCCAGGACAACTTGCTTCAGGTTTAGTAGCACCTAACATTGTACGTCCGTTCTCAACAACCTAAAGTAAAAAAAAATAGTGGAAAATGCATGTGCAGTAATACGCAACGAAGAAATTACAAGTGTTAAAGGTTAGAAACTTTCTCCATTGAATCAAAAACATAGTAAATATGACCGACAGTGAGGGGACATTAGGCAAACACTGAAATAACTGTGGGACTTGTTCACATAGAGTGAGGTTTAATGAGTTACAGTTGTCATACTTCTGATACTGTTTGCTTAATGTAGCAGTCCTGATGACGAGACTTTTAGGGATTAACGGTTTAGTAATCTTCTTACATTGAAGTTAAGAACGGCTTCTATATCTAGCTTTCATTCTGTTGGTATAAATCGCCTTAGATGTATCACTACAAAATCTTAAAGTTGTTACATGACAAACGAACAGAAAAAGAAGGACGGTTGGTGCTAACATGAAACTTAAACTTGATTTTAACGGCCTGTCGCAGCCGTTGAGTTGTATAAAGAGCACTTCGGCCTATTACGGTATTGCATTGGGCATACATGTTCATTTGAAATTCGTCGTGAAGACTGGGAAACTGAAGGAGCGGAAAGTGGCAACATTTGCAAGTTTTTATCATATGAACCATCGATTCACCTTAACGTTTTTTAATAGTCTATATGCACGCTGATAACCCCAACTCATATGTATGGACAGATGTAACAGTAACAGTAAGCATTAGCATTAAAAATAAAACTTCTATGATAATCAAAAGTTTATTCCTTCGGACTTGATTTTATAAATATGTTTTACTTCGCTGCACAACAATCTGGGTGATCTACGTTTTGAGATCATTTACATGGATCCGGGTCCTGAGCAGTCTAATCTCAGAAGGATATTTATCGTGCGAATTTCATCCCTCCGTAATGTAATATTTTTTGCCTCAAAAGAAAACTAAGGACACCCCTAGTTGAAACAAAGCATACTAGGAAATTTTCGTACATGTCAAAGCTTTTGTTTGAGCTGGCAAAACTTTCCAGTCCATGTACAGATGATCAAACTACAAAGCTTGAATTGTGTTGTGGACCTTCAAACTAAATTGAGGAGTGAGAACAAGAAAAAATATGGACATGCTTTTGCCTCTTCGTCGTATTTGCCTACGCAACCATTGACTGCAATTCTAAAAGGATGTATAAAATAAAGCTTCCTGTCCTATTACAAAAAGACTTCAGCGATCAAGTTGGTAGTTTAAACCAGAGCGACAGACAATCAAGTGCGTATTAGTGTTCAAGTTACATGAACAGACAATGGCAACTAGCAGTCTAAATTATGCTAAGACAGCTACTTGTGCACAGCAAGCACCAACTTCAAGTATAGGGACAGTGTTTGATATGGCAACCCCCACAACCGACAAATTGATCTTATACCCATCAGCGATCACTCAAGGGACCCGACATAAGACCGTCAGTTATTTCGGAGGACATGTCTATACTGAACACTATCTAACATGATGACGCCGAAGTGATGCCAACTCAGATGCGGGTCAACATTATTTACATAGTCATGATATCGACGAATGATTAGAATAAAATTGTTAAGGCTCAACAGGCTCTATTGAACTGACAGATACTCGGAAAGTCACTGCGTAAGGCTACAAACACAATAAGGTAACCAAGTGGTGGGCTGGTAACGCAGTGATCGTGAACAGCTGAGGCAGAAGTAACGGAGAAAACGGTGGCGAAAGGCAACTCCAGACAAATTTTCAGCGAAAAACAAGTAATACAAACTGAGTTAAGAGACCATCTATGGAAAAGATGAGACAATGAACGGTCCTTTACCCAGGTGACAGGAACGATGGGGAGAATATTGGAAATTATTGTTTTCGTGAGTTGCTTACTTTATTCACCAAGCAACCTTGACATTTCAAGAATGAGGGAAAGTCAAGCTAATTTAAGACAAGGGAATGACAGGCCTTGGTGGATTAACCCCGAAGACTCATAAGGGTGATGGTTTATTTTCAGTTGGTAGACTGACTGAGATCACAGTTAGTCTCGACCACTCATTGTTTCAGCTTATAACAGTATGAAAATCCTTTTATGGTAACTACAGAAGAATAAGTTTGACATAGATTTTAAAACTGGACAATCACCCAATGTTTTGCTAGGTCTCATGAAAAGCAAATCTGGGAAAACCGGGTTGGTCTCAGACCTGGACGTGTGGGTAAAATATTCGCAATTTGCCATGTCCACATACAGACATACCTATGCACTCACAACCACGGTTGTACTTATCAGCCTTAAAGATCCATTTTATTTTGTTGATCATAAAATCTTGTGCAATATCTCTAAAAGCATAACAAACAGTAAAGTTGGGATTTTACGGGCTCTACTCGAACAATACTAATAGAGTCAGAGCTCATGGAGGGCTGTCACTTGAAGTGTTCATCAAAACTGTCCGCTTTCTTAATTTTGAATCAACTGTCATAGACATACTCTACGAATATTCATGACCTTGGGGAAAACCCTAAAATCCGGATCATTTGTAATTTGGGGACATCTGGGGAGATGAGATATATAAGAACATTTTTGCAAAAGGTTTCGCCTTGAGTTTTTGCTTACTTACCTTACGCCCTTCGAATACCATTGGTACAACGGGTCCAGATGACATATACGCAACTAGTTTTGGAAAGAATGGAAAAGATTTGAGTGCCTCGTAGTGAATCTGAAGAAGCTGTTCTGAGGCATGCATCATCTTTATTGCAACAAGCTTATAGCCTCGCCTTTCAAATCGCTGTATAATCTCCCCAACAAGACCTCGTTGCACTCCATCAGGTTTGACCATTATGAACGTTCGTTCCATGATATGATGACCTCAAGTGAATCCGCGCCTAACTGATGCACAATATAAGTGTATTCAAACACAATCTCGACCACCGTTTATAGAGTCATGTACATTTTTTATTATGACTGTAGTAGTTCTTCGCGTTTCAGTTCTATACAATAAAACTGTCTTGACGTTCGTGTTGAAATTTCTGACTTTGATGTTGGTTGACAGTTGTTGATGGGAAATGGATGACTCTGAAACGCAGAACAGTAGGAAAGATAGCCTAATAATTACAATAAAGCTTTTTGTATAAAGCAACCAGAGCATATGCCCAGTTCATCATTTACATGTACAGCATTGTCATCAACTGTAACAGTTTAGAGTTAACGGCGTTGGAAAATATACTCGATACTTTTTTCGGCTACATTTTAGTTTCTTGTTCTACATGTAACGCTCCAATCTTTATATACACTACTTCATTTAAGATTCCGATTTCTTGATAACTTTTTTTCTACTATTTGTTAAGCGAGTGTACTTCAATTTGTCGTAACACTTCCTTGTGGTCTGTTGGTTGTTTGTTTGTACGTCAGTAGATCCATGTAAGTCTGAATAATTTGTACCGCTACTGCTACTTTAAAAAACAATGTAAGTTCAAAAATAATATTTCTCATCCTTCATGTTACTGTATGTAGTTAGGTATATACTGTTGCTCTTCATTATTGTCATATTATCTTTTGTTTCCCTTGATGAACCTGTACTCATGTTTACGGTATATTTTCCTGATTTACTTCCCCACCCATTTACATTACATTTGTATTTTCATCCTGTGTATGAGGGATGTTTTCTCACTAAATGTTCCTGTCTTCTACTGTACTGATAAAACTATGGTTGAAATTCTGTTAATAACATGTATGAAATATAAATTATGTTACAACACTTGTCTAGAATTTATGTTACGCCATCTTTAAAAACAAATCTGACCAGCGCTTCGGTAAAGATATAATTAAATACAGTTCAACTGACATGCGAATTCCTATCTATTACGCGAGACGTGATTCTAAAACAATAAGCTCCAACCTGAGTTACCAAGTTTAATCGAGCGTTTACAACTAACTAGCCAATGTTAACTAGGATTAGGAACAAGAGGCATCGGCGACAGAGTTTAAAATCCCAGGTGGTCTGTGTAGAACTGCTTTAAAATCAAATAGGCAGGTGAATTAAGTGTTGAAAACGAGGTCAAGAATATTCACTTATTATTAATTACGACGCTGTATGCTAACACACATCACTTATTCACGAACAAACCATGGGATTTTCCGTAGTGAATCAGTGATAGCAAGACTACTAACGATGACAACTACCAAATGGTTAACACCTCCTGGAATAATCAACTTCGAGAATAGTACATCGACCTCAAACCTAGAGCATTCGGATCATACTTCATATGAATTCTCTGAATGGACTCCTCCTTATCGATCCTTATACCATAAAGATATTCGTAGATCAACCTTAGATATTGTCTGGCTTGTTGCCACGGAGACTGAGTTATGAAACCTAGGCCAAACACCTGCATATCTTGACAACATACGTACCATTCAATCAGACCCAAGAAACGAATTCCCATGTAATCTTTTGTTATGACATCCTAGGGCAACATAAATGCGATTTGTTAATTACCATGAGTGTTCATGAACACCGTGACTGGTAAGAGGTACCCAGCTTTTATATGTACGCTGACAGGATTGCCATCTCCTGGTTAACTTCCAAAGCTAAAACTCGCTTTCTGGGAAGCTAATGCAATGTGACTGCGGGAAATCTGTCCGATCAAATGGACAGTTTTATAAGACTTGTTGCTTGTGCAACCTAGCCTTCTTCGTAAGAACTGTAGCTACCACGGCTCATCTTTCTTTATCCGAATACATTTCTAGCTTTGGATAATCCTGTAACAAGTAGCAGGGACTCAGTGCACACAGCAAAACTAACTCTGTAAATTACCTCGAAAAATCGACTATCAATTTTTCAGCAGCATTTTTCCATAGAACATGAATCGTTTGTTGCGTATAGACAGCAGATATTTTGATCGGCGATCAGTGCAGTCTACTACCAGACGTTTTATTATTGGTACTGACCCAAAGATACCATTATATAAACATCATATAAAGTCATCAGTTAGTAGTAATACAATACAACCTTCAATTTATTTGGGAAATAGCCAATCACTCAGTCTACAGGAATAAAATGGTGATCAAACAGCAATCTATTCATGGATCCAAGGGTCAACGGCTTGTTTATATTGACATAGTTCTTGTGGAGTAAACCATAAGTTGATTTCCCTGTTAGCACTTTCAGCTGAGTCTGATCCGTGGACAACATTTCTTCCTACATCTTGGCAGTAGTCTCCCCTTATTGATCCAGGACAACTTGCTTCAGGTTTAGTAGCACCTAACATTGTACGTCCGTTCTCAACAACCTAAAGTAAAAAAAAATAGTGGAAAATGCATGTGCAGTAATACGCAACGAAGAAATTACAAGTGTTAAAGGTTAGAAACTTTCTCCATTGAATCAAAAACATAGTAAATATGACCGACAGTGAGGGGACATTAGGCAAACACTGAAATAACTGTGGGACTTGTTCACATAGAGTGAGGTTTAATGAGTTACAGTTGTCATACTTCTGATACTGTTTGCTTAATGTAGCAGTCCTGATGACGAGACTTTTAGGGATTAACGGTTTAGTAATCTTCTTACATTGAAGTTAAGAACGGCTTCTATATCTAGCTTTCATTCTGTTGGTATAAATCGCCTTAGATGTATCACTACAAAATCTTAAAGTTGTTACATGACAAACGAACAGAAAAAGAAGGACGGTTGGTGCTAACATGAAACTTAAACTTGATTTTAACGGCCTGTCGCAGCCGTTGAGTTGTATAAAGAGCACTTCGGCCTATTACGGTATTGCATTGGGCATACATGTTCATTTGAAATTCGTCGTGAAGACTGGGAAACTGAAGGAGCGGAAAGTGGCAACATTTGCAAGTTTTTATCATATGAACCATCGATTCACCTTAACGTTTTTTAATAGTCTATATGCACGCTGATAACCCCAACTCATATGTATGGACAGATGTAACAGTAACAGTAAGCATTAGCATTAAAAATAAAACTTCTATGATAATCAAAAGTTTATTCCTTCGGACTTGATTTTATAAATATGTTTTACTTCGCTGCACAACAATCTGGGTGATCTACGTTTTGAGATCATTTACATGGATCCGGGTCCTGAGCAGTCTAATCTCAGAAGGATATTTATCGTGCGAATTTCATCCCTCCGTAATGTAATATTTTTTGCCTCAAAAGAAAACTAAGGACACCCCTAGTTGAAACAAAGCATACTAGGAAATTTTCGTACATGTCAAAGCTTTTGTTTGAGCTGGCAAAACTTTCCAGTCCATGTACAGATGATCAAACTACAAAGCTTGAATTGTGTTGTGGACCTTCAAACTAAATTGAGGAGTGAGAACAAGAAAAAATATGGACATGCTTCTGCCTCTTCGTCGTATTTGCCTACGCAACCATTGACTGCAATTCTAAAAGGATGTATAAAATAAAGCTTCCTGTCCTATTACAAAAAGACTTCAGCGATCAAGTTGGTAGTTTAAACCAGAGCGACAGACAATCAAGTGCGTATTAGTGTTCAAGTTACATGAACAGACAATGGCAACTAGCAGTCTAAATTATGCTAAGACAGCTACTTGTGCACAGCAAGCACCAACTTCAAGTATAGGGACAGTGTTTGATATGGCAACCCCCACAACCGACAAATTGATCTTATACCCATCAGCGATCACTCAAGGGACCCGACATAAGACCGTCAGTTATTTCGGAGGACATGTCTATACTGAACACTATCTAACATGATGACGCCGAAGTGATGCCAACTCAGATGCGGGTCAACATTATTTACATAGTCATGATATCGACGAATGATTAGAATAAAATTGTTAAGGCTCAACAGGCTCTATTGAACTGACAGATACTCGGAAAGTCACTGCGTAAGGCTACAAACACAATAAGGTAACCAAGTGGTGGGCTGGTAACGCAGTGATCGTGAACAGCTGAGGCAGAAGTAACGGAGAAAACGGTGGCGAAAGGCAACTCCAGACAAATTTTCAGCGAAAAACAAGTAATACAAACTGAGTTAAGAGACCATCTATGGAAAAGATGAGACAATGAACGGTCCTTTACCCAGGTGACAGGAACGATGGGGAGAATATTGGAAATTATTGTTTTCGTGAGTTGCTTACTTTATTCACCAAGCAACCTTGACATTTCAAGAATGAGGGAAAGTCAAGCTAATTTAAGACAAGGGAATGACAGGCCTTGGTGGATTAACCCCGAAGACTCATAAGGGTGATGGTTTATTTTCAGTTGGTAGACTGACTGAGATCACAGTTAGTCTCGACCACTCATTGTTTCAGCTTATAACAGTATGAAAATCCTTTTATGGTAACTACAGAAGAATAAGTTTGACATAGATTTTAAAACTGGACAATCACCCAATGTTTTGCTAGGTCTCATGAAAAGCAAATCTGGGAAAACCGGGTTGGTCTCAGACCTGGACGTGTGGGTAAAATATTCGCAATTTGCCATGTCCACATACAGACATACCTATGCACTCACAACCACGGTTGTACTTATCAGCCTTAAAGATCCATTTTATTTTGTTGATCATAAAATCTTGTGCAATATCTCTAAAAGCATAACAAACAGTAAAGTTAGGATTTTACGGGCTCTACTCGAACAATACTAATAGAGTCAGAGCTCATGGAGGGCTGTCACTTGAAGTGTTCATCAAAACTGTCCGCTTTCTTAATTTTGAATCAACTGTCATAGACATACTCTACGAATATTCATGACCTTGGGGAAAACCCTAAAATCCGGATCATTTGTAATTTGGGGACATCTGGGGAGATGAGATATATAAGAACATTTTTGCAAAAGGTTTCGCCTTGAGTTTTTACTTACTTACCTTACGCCCTTCGAATACCATTGGTACAACGGGTCCAGATGACATATACGCAACTAGTTTTGGAAAGAATGGAAAAGATTTGAGTGCCTCGTAGTGAATCTGAAGAAGCTGTTCTGAGGCATGCATCATCTTTATTGCAACAAGCTTATAGCCTCGCCTTTCAAATCGCTGTATAATCTCCCCAACAAGACCTCGTTGCACTCCATCAAGTTTGACCATTATGAACGTTCGTTCCATGATATGATGACCTCAAGTGAATCCGCGCCTAACTGATGCACAATATAAGTGTATTCAAACACAATCTCGACCACCGTTTATAGAGTCATGTACATTTTTTATTATGACTGTAGTAGTTCTTCGCGTTTCAGTTCTATACAATAAAACTGTCTTGACGTTCGTGTTGAAATTTCTGACTTTGATGTTGGTTGACAGTTGTTGATGGGAAATGGATGACTCTGAAACGCAGAGCAGTAGGAAAGGTAGCCTAAGCTAATGCCTGTTTACTTGATAAATCCTTGCTGGACTCAAGGACTACTCTGCAAAGACCCGAACTAAAGCCTCGTCAAACACTATTGTGAATCGCTCGCTCAACTCCCATGACTCTGTTAGAATGAAAACTAATTGTAAGATGCAAGATCTAACATCACGACAGAAAGCCGTGAAAACGATTTCTAAAGAAGTTAAATCTCTTCCTAGTTTAATTAGTTGGAACCTGGAGTAGTCGAAAGACAATGAGCTTTTTCAAAAACATGCACACGATCTGCAATTAGTGGAATCTGTGATAAGATATGTAGTACCTGAAGAGGTTTCAGGGGTACATACCGCGAAGGTAGTACGACTCGGTAAATGTGTTGGAGGCGAGGCCTAATCAAGATGGATTTTGAAGTTGGTTCTCGGGAATTTTGAAGAAAGAGGTGAAATATTGAATAACGCACAAAACTCTTGATGATGACACAGGTATTCAGTGTTTGACAACGCTTCTACCAGTAACACCTTCTAATATGATTTGTACCCACGGAGAGAAATCAAAAGATAGAGTCGAGGAGATCAGAAGAGTGTATTTGGCTATTACCAATATATCGGAATTCTCTGATCTAATCTGGCTAGCGATTGCGGTTGATGTTGAGCACGGCGTTACCGCACGTGATCTGGTGCGGATGCCTGACCGAGCGCCTTCAGCTAGATGAGTCCACTAAAACATATGGTCAGCATCCAATGTCGAAAACTTACAGGACTATTTATTTTGGGGATTTTTTTACCGCTACACCCTTGATTCAAATATTCGTATCCGACCAGATTGGACGCTTGAGGATCGAATTAAGAGGAAGAATGCTCTTACGGAGTTAAGAACTCGAAAGCCAAATGGCGAAACTAACTTTACCATTAAGAGTTTTCGGGTAGTCAGGTCTTGCAAGCCAATGCCTACGAGGCCTGTATTAGAAGTGATAGTTTTAAGTCGCAAGAGGGAGGCATAATGTCATACGTTAGTGATCAATTCCGTATATGATCAGTCATATCGGAGGCGCATGTTAGTGGTAAATGTGAGGGAGCATGTTGTAAAATTAAATCTAGAAATCAGTTAGTGACTACAGGAGGAATATACCGTGGTTCGTGTTGTCTTGCTGACAACTTTATCTTAAAACGCACCTGTTCTCGGAGTATAGCAGAATGTTGTCTTCAACGCACCTCATATCAACTGAATAGAGCTTACAGCTCCAGGCGGTGGTTCCGATAGCGACCTTTTATCAACCATTATTCAGTGTGCACCTGTACAATGTATTGAGAAACCGACACAGATTGACTTGAAACATGATTCGTCACTCCTGGACCTTTCCCTCATCCACCACTGTGAGGGTGTCTTTGATGTTCGGCATCTTCACCAGTGAACAGTGATCACGTTGTCTGTTATTTTAAGTTTCTGACACATGGTATACAATTTCGATCTGCTCCACCCCGTCGCAATATCTGGCGAGCTAATATTCCGGCAATCAGAGACTGTGCTATCCCAAGTGACTGGTCGGTCGACGCGGATCGATCGATCGAAGACGAATTGAATAAGTTTAGGACTACATTTAGGTCTGTAACCTCACCGTTTGTCCCATGATCAGCACGTAAGTTATCACATTGCTCTCCATGGATTAATAAGGAAACCCGGAAGCTGTTAAAGCGTAGGAAACACTTCTGGGACTTATTCTTGTTGACAGTTCATGCATTATTTGAGCATCAGTACCGAAAATTCCGGAATGTTTGTAAGAAAACCATAGCTAAATCTTCGACTACTTATGAACGACAGTTGGCATATGATAGTAGCACTTGTCCGAAACAACTGTCTTCGTATGGTAAATGGCGAATAAAACGTAGTGATGGTATTCCTCCGTTACTGTTACACGAAAATTTAGATTTCCTAGCTAAATAAGATCGGGCAAAGGCTGAGGCTTTTTCAAACAATTATAGTGAAGACTACCGCTAGGGTTGAAGCTATCACGACTTCAATTAATCTGCGAACGAGAAACAAGACTCGGTGACCAAAGACCAGTAAGCTAGCTATTTGATGCGTCCCAGCCCCGCAAACTAGAGGAAGAAGTCCAAGCTTGGAATAGGGAAGTATATTCTGCAAACAGTCAGAAACGAGCGATAACAACAAACAATTCAAAACGTATATATGCGGTACAAAACCGCCCTCAGGGAGAGTTACCAAATAGCATACTAAAAGATGCAACTGGCCAATAGCATTTAAGATATTTCCTAGTGAGAAATACGACATGACAAGAGCGCTTTGGCGCGAAAACAAAGAGATTAAAGTTTTATAAATAAAATTACAAAGTAAGGTCCTTTCTCAAGTGAATTTGTAGTGTGGCGTCGAGTCGCGGTTGACTATGATCACCACTAAAGGGAAACTACGTAACAGTTAACCGATAAGATCCCCCGTAAGCCAAATATCAGAAGGCAGTTGATGGCTGTAGTCGAGATGTATTTGTTGGCGATCTCGTGGTAACGGAAGAATACCGAGATCATGCCAGGTCACAAGTGTGGTTACTGAGCGTAACTGAACTCTTGCAAGGTCGCAATCAATGGAAGAATGTCTTTAGTGCAGTTAAACAAACAAATAAAGTAAAACAATCACTGGTACAACTGATTATAATAATAATTGCTTCCATTAAACCAATCGCGTCCTCTTGATAAAAGTAGGTCACTACAAGTTCTGGGGATCTAACGTCCCCAACATGTACTCTACGTTTATTGTAATAAATACTTGTCCCGATCATGCCGAGATACCAGCCATTGAATCTGTGCAGGTGACTGGGGAAACTGTCCTTCCATTGGTAGCTAACCTCAAACCTTGTAAGATACTGGATCCTGAAGTGCTACATTCACGGCTGCTGACATCCCTTGCAGACATCATTTCTGTATCGCTCTCGAGCTTCGGAATAATAGGTCCTGTACAGGAGTGGATAGGAAACGTCTTATGTGATCGCAGACAGAGAATGAGGGTCAATGGAACGCTATCCGATTGGAAGCCGGTCAAAAGTGGTGTACCCCAATGCTCCATCTTAGGTCCGCAACGCATGTCCTACCCACCACCAATTCCTTTCCATAATTTTCTCTCCATTTGGAAGCTGGTTTTTTCCCTCCCACAGCGGGTTATTGCTGACGGCATCTGCCCAATTTATCTGGAGTATCTTGTCTATACAATTGTTTATAAATTCATGTACATTTGTGATTATGGTCTTAGTAGTTATTCAAGTTTCAGCTCCGTACAATAAAACTGTCTTGACGTTCGAATTGAAGATTCTCACTTTGAGGTTGTTTGAAAATTGTCTTGAGTTCCATATGTTCTTGAACTGTAGGAACGCCGCCATTTCTTTGCAGATCCTTGCATTTATATTTGCAATGGATCTTTTCTCTTTACCGATGATGCTGTTTAGATAAGTGAAAATTTCCGCTTGTTCCACAGTACGATTTTGTTGGTGCTCGCTTTGTAGTATTTCAGGGTTTTGCATTTTCTCTTGTGTATGCTGAGGCATACTGCTTCAGAGGTTGTTGTCACTTCTGTGTGACTTCTATGTTTGAATTAAGGGCTTCGGCTGATATACTTTCTGATCCTGTTCCTTCCCAACTCTTGATTATTCTGACGTCTTTGCCGATTTACTTAATATTTGGTAAGGTAACAGGAGTTCTGTATGTGCTTATTCGACGTCCTGTTGGTTTAGTGCGCTTCGCTCTATTCAAGAGCCCTTAAAAGTGTTCTAACCACCTGTTTCGCTGTTCGTGAATCGTAGTGATTTGCTTGCATATGACTGGTCGCTCTGATCTACCGTGTTTTCTCGCCAGATTCTTCATCGTATCGTACAGTTGTCTCCCATTTCTTTCCCTTGCAGCCATAACCGTTTTCATCGCTAGGTCTTCCACATAATATCTATTTTAGCTGTAATGCTTCTCCTTATCCTTTTTTGCTTCTGAGTATTCGGCCTTTGCCATGGCTTTCTCTGTAACTGATCAGCTGTTGTTGATTTCTGTCCTTTTTTCCTTCTTTTCTCGAATCTTCACCTGTATGTCAACAGTGATTCATTTATAATCATGTTGCTGCTTGAGGCCCAAAACCTCTTGACATATAAAAGTTACTGCTTCTTTAATTTTATCTTAGTTATTCTCTAGTGTGTTTTCCTTTTTTAGTAGGTCTTTTGAAGTCTGGGATTGACTGCTGAGGGTAATTCTTTCCCCCAGTTATTTTAACAGTCCACTATATATACTTTATGATCTCAACATTTATCCAAATTAACTGATCCACTGAAAACAAAAATCACACATCCTACATGGGATCTATATTCCAGCAAAATCTAAAACAGAGGTAAGGAAGTTGTGAGAAGCGTTTTTATTCTAAGCCAATATATACATATTTTTTCAAGTGGATAAGGCTGGACGTCGATATCCACATTGTGACTAAGCAGGCTTTCATTTTATCTTAAACTTCGACAAAGATTAGCAAAAGGAAAGCAAACACGTGTAGTTAAGCACAAGCTGAATGCATACTTATAGGGTGGTTT